TTTGCAGATTACTGACAGCTCCTCTTTTCCACCTTTTTAGTATGAAGTCCTTCAAGATGGTTAGTGGCGATATTTATATATTAATTTGTATCAAATGGCAGGCGTTTTGATAGTTATCATTAGCCTTTTAGTTGACTTCAAGCTTCACAGAGAAGAGGAGGAACATCAAAGTGACAAAAAGTTGAGAGGGGGAACAGAAGAGTGATTCACAGATGTAAAAGAGGCAGACAGACACAAAGGCATAGAAAAGGTAAGATGAGTACTGTAGAAGAGGTCGAATATGAAAAATAGTCGGGTCATAGTAGTTTGAAGTCTGAAGTCAAGTGCCGGTTAATAGACATTTTTGCGGTATGAGAGTATGTTGCCTAGGGTGTACCACGTGGAGGTAAGTCTATTGCGCACCCCTTATTGATGATATTGGAGACTGGAATTGCTTTCAGGGACTATTTTAACAATGACGACCCGGTCAAAGCAAGGACACCTAGGGCTTGGAATCTGATGACTCAAACAAAATTCTATATTATGAGAATTGTGAAAACTTTTCAAAGTAGCCTGACTTTAGAGTTTTCCGGATGAATCCCCTGGAGCAGCTTTTCACATGCCATGCGTTCACGAGAGATCAGCCTTCTTTCGGTATTATGGATGGCTTTAAGCCTGTTGTTGTCAGATATCCCTGTGCGTTAATTCGCATTCCCAAACCTTTTTGCTCTAAGATAGATGTTTCAATGCCTGTCGATCTACTCGTATAGTGAGGACCTTCATCTATTCCCACTCCATCTTCGGCCCCTTCAACAAATTCCTACCCTTGACATACAACCCGCATTCTTGTATCATCTTTCTCTTTACCTTTTTCACAATGTTTCTTCCGGAATAAATATCCCACCCTCGACTCGTTCTTTGTTACCCTACATCAAATGACTCTGGTATTTAGAATGTTCTAAAATGTTAAGTAAATTTAGATCATCATGATCTAATTAAACCCATTCACTCGATTTGACTTCTAACGAGATCTTCAATGAATTTTAGTCAATATGATATTCACTAAGTAATTAATCAAAATTTCAAACTGTTTATTAGTTACCCTAAGGGTAAGTTGGCACAGGAATGTGATTGTGAAGTGATAAATTTCCAAATTAATGCATTTTAACCGGTAATTAACGCTGTCTTTTTTCTTTCTAGCAATTAAGTTATTAAACTATGAATAATGAGGAGGAAACATCAAGTTGGCCGATTTCAGAAGATCCTTCATGGCTTCAACCTTATTGCTCATGGTGTCGTAAGGAGTTTCAAACCATGAAAGAATACCTACATCATCTACGATCCCGGCTACACCATTTTCATGTACGAGTGTCTAACTTTAACAGAAATAACCTCAAACCATTGGGGTGGGAAATGCCAAAGTTCGGAGACCAGGTTCGCATATGTTCTGGTAGGTATCGTAATATGATGGGCCGAGTTATGCGTACGGATGTAATGAGACTTACTTATGACATCTATACGTTTATGAAGTCTGAAGACAATGTCATCAAGGATATTCCTTTTTATTCTGTACTTAAAGTCGGAGATAGGGTCACATTATAAAGCTTAGTTTTATTTTGTAAAACCTGAATCTCGAATATATTTTGGTTTCTTATAATTGTTGCGTTTCACTTTATCTTCGTTTCCCAGCTTCGTATGCTTTATTGTAAGCGAGGGAAATATCTTTCTCGCACAATGAATTAATTTATAATTTATTGGTGTGTGTGGTATTATTTTTTATATAAGCATTATTGATTTAATTGATTCCCTCTTCATTATTTAGCCTTTGCTCAATAGAAAACCTGATCTCTTATTTCATCAAAATGAAGAAATTTTGAACATGTAACAAGTTGCTACACTAAAAAGCCTTGACTATACTCAGTAATCTTGATGGCTCCCAGAATTAGCTGAACTACCGCAAGGTATAAATGAAATAGACATATGACGTGGAACGCGCTTATTTGGTATGCCGTGCAGTGGTGTAGAAATTAAGTCTTATATACACTTTCAAACATGACTACGTAATGACTTTGGCAATTGCTTGATCGGATAACCACGTACTGTCTTTGACCGTTGATTGGTCGTCTTGGCTTTGGTCATCGATTGATCGAGAAGCCTTTGCTTTTGCCATGCTAAAGCTGTGTCTCCCATAACCCCACTCACTCGTCGTCTTCTGTTAACATGAACTCGGACGTTTGTTTTCGCCCCCTAAGGGTGGGGAGGGGGTGGGGGCTCTAGTGATCACAATATATCTTCCATAAAGGCATTTTAGCTTATTAGACAATATTAAGCATTCAAACGCATAGCTTGTTACTACAATTTCCAGAGATCTGTAATAGACATTTAAAGCCTTTCGGTATGGGCGAAAAAACCAAACTATGATTTGCCTGAAGTACTTCTGAAGCATAGTTAAATTGATGAGCTTAATTTCAAAACTGACGGGCAGACTTTGATGTTCGTCAAATACCTTTTAATGTAACGGGAGATTCGAATGTTTCTAAACAATAACCTTTGATCTTTCGCCCCACTTATCGAATTATTTTGGAAGAGAACTACTCTGCCTTTGACCATCATAAGTTGGAGTTGATAGAATCCGACGCATATTTGGTATGCCGACGACGTTCATGTGATAACAACTAACTCGTGTGCTGCAACAGTAGGGTTAGATAAACTCATGTTTTAGCCAGGCATGATGTTCGGTTGGCAATCAGATACAAATAGTTACCTACCGAAAATAGAGGGAGCCATGAAATGACCTAATTTGGATACCCAGGGTCACGCAGTAATGAAAACTGATTAGCCAATGAAACTGCAACTCACAGTTTTCTTTAAACTGCAGCTATTAAGCCAACCACCTCTCATAAAATATCCGCAACCATTAGTAAAAGTGAAAGTTTAATTTCATAGGCCTTTCAGTAACCCACTACTCAGACTTGTGCCCAAACAATGGGTTTTTCCTGCTGTTAAGAAGACAAATGTAATTATATAGAAGATGCAGGATAGATGATTGGCTGACTGATTGAATAAGATTAGCGGCATTAGATTATTCACTAGTGGTCTTGCATGTCGATGTCTGGGAGTAGGTATGCTACATCAGTACATGAGGGATATGATTACGATTTGGCCTCCTAACATTTATAAACCCAAATTTATGTCTACATGAGAGTTGGATTAAAGAACACATTCTATTTTTGGTAATTCTCCTCTAATGCTCAAGGGATCATTGATTCCACGCCCGTTAAAGGATTTGAGATATTTCCCATTTCTTGCGAAGATATGGACAAGTATATCATCCTTTTTCGATTTCTTCTAAAGAGATAGAGCCAGCGACTTATGCGATTAAAAAACCTCGCCACAGTGGTCCTTCCGTCAGTTGATTAAGATGCCTCTTCTGTGTCAGCTTCATTAGACCTTACTCAGTTCTTTTCTCAGCTACAATCTACAAAGCTTCCCGTACTATCTCGTTATTTGCCAATTTGGTTTAAAATGATCCTGGATAAATCTTAGTAGGAAAGGAACAGAGCATAAAATGTAACGTCATCGATAGTAGATCCTAAGCAGGTCGAAATTTTTACTTGTATTATCATGGTCTTTACTAATATTTTCATTCAGACAGTCGGTTTTCACCAATTTCATAAGTGCCCACAATTTGGCACTCTCAAAGCTCTTAAAAGCGTTAAAACTTTTAAAGCAGGGGCTTTTCAATTACTCGGTATTTGAAATAGTGCCTAAAACTCCAAAGCCGTTTCGGGACGTTATGACCAAAAGTCGTGTAACAAGTATATGCGCATATCCCAATGTCATAGTTATATTTTGAAGCCTTCCAAAAAGGAAAAACCTCAGACCATTCAAATGCTAGTAACTATCGTCAAGCATACTTATTTTTAGCACCTGAAGGTCAGCGAACACGCCCTTAGAAGTCATATTAGTAAACCATAAATGTGGGATTTCGGTATCCAAAGTTTTATTAATAGAGAGGTGTAAAGTGAATTTCAGAGTCAGAAACGCTGGAGAACACTTTTCTCTAATCAATACATCAACTACAATTTGCTACTCATCATATTAGATCTTTGCTTTTTCTTTTTACATTATGAAAATACGAGCATGAGGTAAAGTATGTTCTAAATATTTCATTCTGTTTATGAACTATAGCAAAGACCCTTGAAAACTCAGTCTCATTCCAGTATATGCCGATGAATTTTGATTCCATTGGTGACTCTGTAATAGGACCTGAGCCAGTTAGCAGATAAAGTATTATCGATAGTTGGTGGTGAATACCAGAAGCAAGTACTGTACATGACGTTTGATAGCACTTCCATGATCATTAGGCTCTAACGCGTGCTGTCACCAAATCATCAGAAACGGCGCAGTTTTGCAAAATTTATCAAGACTTCTAATAAAATTCCTAATTTAATAGCCACACCTGATTTGATAAATCCATTGTCAACTAATGCTTCACCTCATTGTGCATAAGCGAAAATTAGAAGAGCTTTGCGGCACTCAAGTAGCATATCGCGCCACAACCAGATGCGCGTGGCTGAGCGTCAAGCGCATAGTTGACCGCACTAAGTTGGTACAAGAATGCAAAAAAGCCACCGCAGCTTTATTTTTCAATGACTTTCCTGCCTAGACAGCTACGAAATCCCATTAGTTGAAAATTAATTAGCACTAGGCAACCAGTGGTCAGTTCAGCAAATAATTACACACACACAAAGAGGGAGAGAGAGAGAAGGGAGGTGATATATGGATAGAAACCAATATCTTTCTTTATACATATCAAATACAGAGAAAGAAATACCTTCAATTAGAGATGGAAATCACATACACAAGGGGTATCAAAAAAAGAACAGAGATGGAATTGCTTCATATCTTATATCATGATTGAGTGCATATATATGAATGATGGCTGTAGTGGCAATGAGTATGGTAAGCCAAACAGCGATGATGCAACCAAAGTAATCTAATCCTCCTTCAAACCACCATTAGCCACCTCCGTTCGGCTAAACGAGTTTTTCTCCGCAATTTTGACCTCAATTTTTCCCCGCTGGCACATACGCCTGTGACAGTTCTGAGCCATTGCGTTCACAAGGGAGATGGCGAATACAATCATTGCCAGAGTAACTGCCATTTGAACAGCACTCTGAATCCAACTCGTTTTCTGAAAGAAGAAGAGAACGCCTTCGCATAACAATAAGTTCGTATTAATCAAGTCGTTTAAGAAGCTCTTTTATATACACTGAGAGCAGGCTGCAAGGAAAAACACTGCGGAAATGGCTGAAGTAAAAATTCTCTCCACTTCCCTCACCTTAAAACACTTTTAGGTCAAAAAAACGGTAAGTTTAAACAAATGTTTGCCTAGGAAAAATTGACTAAGACTCAAATAAGATCTCTGATTTAACCGGACAGGCGTGCCAACGTTGTCAATTCTTGCCCCTGAAAGCGATGAAGTGCAAAGATGTCAAATGCATGTAGGTGTTCATTGAAAAGATGACGCTCTTGTACAATTGACGGCATCACGGTTCCCCACACGTAAAAATCAACAAAGAACTAAAGTGCTCAAGTTTCATTGTGCAAGTCGTAGAAATAGCAAGGCTGATTGAAGCGCTACATATCAGAATGTGGTCCCTAGCATTGACAACAAAGTTAGTGCATCTCTTCAAAAGATCCTTAAAAAGGGAGCATACATTTTTCTTAGTTTGGAACCAAATCTTCCACTGTTTGGAATATGTACACTACCTTCATTAATAAATGGGCATTTTAGTCTTACTATGACTCCGGTGGTTAGGTGCATACGTTTATTCATATATTTTAAAGGTGTGCGAAAAGTCAGGTGTCAATATTCACTTATAATTAATAATAACATGGTAATATGAGGTGTTATAAAGAAGTCTTACCGTGGCAACAGCTTTGTTAAGCAATTTGTCCTTCTGGTTTTGTAGATATTCAAGGAATGGATGTTGAAGCTTTGTGCCAAAGATTGGGACTTTCCTAGAGGACATGAAGTAGGAGATCAGAGAACACATGTGATTTTCAATGACATTTACATGAAAAAAGCTCGAACTGCTAGACAGATAGGAGAAAATAGAGCTAGTAAAATTGTACATAGATTATATATGATAAGTCGTTTTGCTATAGGGTTGACACAACAGACTTACGCATGCGTAAAAGGCAAAACACGCCTTGACTCTATCGACGGGTCTGATTTTCAAGTAAATAAATTGATGAAACTAAAGCTCAAGTGGAAAGGATTTCTCCCGATTCCCTAAATCTTTCTTCTACTGGCCTCATTTCTCCCAATCTCTGAATTGCATATTCAGATGTTTCTCTATTATTTAATAATAGCGAATTTCATCTTTACCTCGAGTAGAAATAACACAGGGAGAGCGTGGTAACTCGGTTCTTATAGATTTGGTGGTCAATCGTACACGGGGGTTAATTCTGGCTAACAGGGAAAGTGGTGGAATACAAGTTCCTTAGAAAGGCGGTTACAAAACATCTTTTCAAAATCCAAACCAAATCATATCTCGGAGAGCCAATAACTACTAAAGTCCACCTTGAACAAGTCACACAACCGCTTTTTGAATTTGAAACTCCGTTTGCCGGAATCATCTGCATGCTTAGAGTCACAAAAAGATACAAATGCATGAAAGTGGCAAAATAATTTAACTGATCAATACTAACTCACGAAGAAATGGACTATGAAATATTACGCTTTGAGTGATATGGATATGGTAAAAAAAATTATATCCCTTATGAGAACGTGAGCAAATCAAAGCGTCCTAAGTTGAAATCGATGAAAGTTTCTCCCCATCTAGTCTTCATTAATTACTCCCACTCGCCAATCCCCAACCATGCAAAAGTATTTTGAGTCTTCATGGGTAATACACGATGGGTTGACGAAGGGTATTATCCTAAGTAAACTTAAGACAAGGAGCAATATCGAATTTCATTCAGTGAATGCTAGCAAGATAAGCATTGGGTAAGGTCGTACTTCTAACTACACATTGACTGGCTATTAGAAAGAACATCCACACCGACATGGCGCATGACAGACGCATTATTTAAGTCTACTGGCAGAGAATAAAATTGTGAATTTTAACACGAGAACGCCAGATTGTGGTACAAAGAGTAAAAGAACTGTAAAGTCATAAACTGAGATGAAAGTTGTTTTAATGTCATGATCACGTGTAACTCTAAATTACATTATTTCGAAAAATTAAAGGCATCTATATGATAAAATTTATGATCATGTTCTACTCACAGAGAGTACTAATGGCATTCAATGGTATAAGTGTATCAAAGAAAGCCACCTTACCCCAACAAATATACCATCATTTCAATGTGATCCTGTGAACTCATTAAAATGACAAAGAAGGTTTGAATGTGGGTCTTTATGATGGCCTTCCCAATCAATGTTGCACCGAAGAAGGTTGAGAATGGGACTAAGAAGTGGCCACAAGTCATTCCAGCAAAGTCAAACAGAGGATTCGGGACCTGTAAGGAAAAAAACGAATTATGAATAAGTCGACGAGTTGGCAGTCGAGCAATATTATGCGCAACTGATTCGGTGTGAACAACTCCTAAACCACATCTTGTTATTCCACTATTAACCTGTGTTAATCAACGCTTTTGGTTGGTTCCATCACCAAGTTTCAAACTTGCAGCGCCACACACAGTCCAAGTGAAAACGTAAATCCAGGCTCGTGGCATCAGGATATAATGAAATTCATTCTTTGTCCGCATTTTCTCCCTAATCGATAAGGTGACTCAACTTTTACTTTTTCACCAATTTAGTGTGTCAATAAAAAGGGTTGGAAACGGATATGAACCCTAGAAAGCGTGATAACGGTATTTATTATATTTGTGGTAGACAAAAGAATTAATAATTCCTTACTCATTATGACTTCACGTAAACAGCTTTGAGTTTAGAACTCCGATTATTAGTCGACTTTCCGACTACAACCTAGTTTATATTTTAAGCAAGTAATGGTTCTAGATTATATAAGTGGAAATAATTATGCGAACTTGAAAAAAAAACGAAAAGGAATGATACAGGGAAGCGGATTAAATTAATATGGAGTAAGAACAATCCTGTATCCAGGAGACTAAGAAATAGTGATTCAGTGAGGGTAGACATCGATAAGTTGATTGAGTGTCAGGATGAGTGACACAGGCAACTACAGAAGGAAGACAATAAGTAGGATAAAAAAAATTGATAAGGGAGAGGCGATATCAGATAACGCAAGTACGGCATAAAATCGTCACACCATTGTGATTAGGTGTTGTAGTCATCCCAGGATAAAAGAAAACTCAAATCCTATGACACAACACCATCTATAAAATCTTGGTGGCTGATAGAGAAGATATTATCACTACGCTGCAACCATAATCATGCATTTATGTACTGGTGTTCCAATAGCCTATCGACTCACAGCTGAAAAGATGGACAGTGGTCAACATAGCACATACTCTCAAGAAGGCAGGCCATTGACAAGACCGAAAAAAACCGATAGCACCTAAGAATCTGGCATCAGGTAGTCTCCAATGTGGAAAGTAGCAGGCAATCACAATGGTTAAGCTAGACTAATAGAGGATGGTGGAATTTGATTTTCCCTCCCCAAGATAACAGTTGGAAAGTCAAAAGTGAAATTAAGAGACTATAAGTTCTGCAGCACTAATACTAGAGGATAGGGAAGTCTTCATAACACTCCCTACAACACGGTACATGAATACTTGGATTTAAAGAAAGTTATGGAGGCCTTTATACAATAGGTGCTATGCTAGAGCGCCAATACAGTGATTTCTTAAGTATACACAAATTTCTCATTGCTCTAACAAAGGCGAGTGCGATGAATTATTAGCAAATCTTCCTCATTGCAACGAACATTTGAAACAGGATGAAAAACTGATGAGTCCCACACGTTGAAATATGATATTTTATGTGTGTGAGCTTAACAAATAGGAACGACGGCTACACCTTAAAGAATACCACTCAGAAAGGCCACTACAACCATCCCTCAGTGGCTTCTTGAGATTGAACGGGACATTACACACTCAAGAATGTGCAAAGGTCTAATATTTTTTTCAAATGTCAGGGTTTATGATATTTATCATTAGCCCCATAGAGAACCAATATCGTTTTACATAAAATGGAAGGGAAGTGGGTTGCTGCAATGCACTAAAATAACGTATTGAGAACATTGGGTCATACAAGACCTCAAATATACCAGTTAACAAAGGGTGGGAGATCATCACAATAATTCCTATGATCAAGCATATGACAACTTCGAGCCACCGTATATGGAACTCAGACACGCCTTATATAAATTAAATGGAATGGCTCTACAACTACATCGTCCTTGCACTTATGTTGATCAATAACGATTCCACCTGCTGTAGGAATGTTATAGGACGGAAAGAAATTTACCACAACCATGGTGACAATATCTTTTTTAATAGTAGTCACAAAAGGTGACAAGGGGTCATGCAGCTTTGAAATATGCAATAATAGACATGTAACACTTTCTGAATTAGAAATGTCGGTTAAATGCGCACTTGTCTCCAGGTAGGTGATCAGGTTACCTTAGCGACAATGCTATGCCATGCCATCTGGACTTAGAAGTACCTTATTAGTCTTGTACTTAATAAACTGAATTCACATGCAAATCTAATAATACAATTTCTTACAAAGACCACTTAATAGGGTTTATAAAATTAGAGAAAAAGCAGACGATCTTACAAGACTTAGGTCAACATTCTCAGAGTAAGTTTATTCTATCTCAAAATCCCTTAATTTAAAGCTACAAACGAATTTACCGCTGTGACGTCATGTCTCCGTTACCATCACATAGCTTATTTGATTAAAAATCCGATGTCTGAAATACCGGAAGCACCTTTCAATAGTGCAAAGCCACTACACGATAGGTTTATTACAATTGACGTCAGGTTCTGAAGCACCAGTATTAGAAACAAGAAGTCGCTAGGCCATTGTGGGAAGGCCATCAATAACAAAGAGCTGATGTTGACAAATTAAATGTAAGAACTATTGTTATCCAAACCATATAAACCCTGTGTCCCTGGAATGCAAATACATTTGCAATTACTCATGACTACATAACTTAATAGCCGTACATAAATTATACATTAAAAGTGAATAGATCAAAATCTAAATATTGATCTTTTATTTAGGATTTTGAGGTGGGGAGAGAGAAAGAGTAAGTACTTTAAAAAACAAGTTGATATAACCTGATAATTCTCAAAAATATCCACAAACCTCAGAACACGTAAATACCATCAAAGAGACCTTTTCTCCAAAAGCATGCTCTGCAATTTGGTACAATTTAAGAAACAAATTTCAACCAATAGATAGGCAAAAAAGCAAAAATAAAGAGAACATTGAAATTTTTACACCATTAAGAACACACTACCGAGAGAAATATTAAAAATACTTCACCTGAATAAAGAATTGGGGGAGCAACCGTACCACTAGATATGAACCCATGGATATTGATTTCATGATTTTTGACTGCAGACATGAATGCTTTCTACTGGACTTTCAAAGATCACTTTACATTTAGAGACTTGTCAGAGAGTAGATGTAGTCATAACAGTTGCAAGACAATAGCCAATGGCTTCATATTTGGTAGACGTTTACGTTGGTAGCCTACACACACAAACTAATACACACCTAATACAACTTCTTTAACAAATATTCAAGTATTGGTAATCGATTTAAGACCTCTCAATCGCTATTGATCTTCGTAATTGGCAAAATCATTGGCTTATAGGGGTAGTGACAGGCTGACCATTAAATCTTACGAAACAAACTCACCGATGCACAAAGAAGAATAGCAATAAATCCAGCACGAGTAATTAGTCGCTGCAGGATCAATTCCAAATTTTGAACAAACGTCATTTCTTTCTCAGACTTTTTTGCAAGTGGTGTAGAATCACCATCTGCATCAGAAGAGGATGGAGAGAAGTCCGATGAAAGTTCGATCTCTTCATCTTGAATTCCACCAGAAAGGCGTGACGTGCGGGCCATGAAATAGGGTGGCAACTCACCGATCGCAGTACCGAGACCCTAAGAGTTAATTAAATAGAAATGAAGTACCTACCCAAAACATGGCCTCTGCTTGAACCTTTCGAATTATACTGTAGAAAGAAATACCAGAAGTTGAAACACTTGAATTTGATGGACAAATAATTAGATCAGGATACGGAGGCTCTGGAAAATCAAGAGACTGACAAATATAGGCGCTCATTGTCACTTGGGCAATGAAAGGTCCCTAGAAAAGTAATTAGAAAAATAACAATCACCATACAAGGTATAGAACAAAGGTGTGTAACCCCGAGCCAAAACCGCAAGAGGACAAAAATCCTAAGAAAACCCACCAAGAATACCACAAAACATTTTTTTCAAGATACACAATTGCCTATGGAGAAAATAGTAAATTGAGTGAAATCAGTATTACGGCTTGATGAGGTCCAGGAGCACCTCGAAGAAAGCAATAACCAATCAAGGTTAATAAGGAAAGACATGTCACAATTTTATAGCGAAGAGTTTTGTGAAATAATCGAGCCACTTGGTAAATGCATTCAATTAAAAAATAATACGATGTAGTCAGCGGTCTGTTCCATAAAGTTATAGTTCGCCGTTCCTCATATTCTACCATAAGTTGCCTCTTAGGTTTGTGTGCGATTTTCTGTTTATTATCCATTATTAAGCGGAGGATACGAACCTAGAATTATATAATTTAGTTGGTTTGGCCTTAAATGGTAGCCAATGGAAAATCGTGTAAAGTAAAAACCCAAGAGAATCGAACTGTGTGCTGCACATGTGAAACAGTAAAATTATTAAGCTAGGCAAAATTAATATTCTTAGCATCACAGATCAGCTTATATCTAAAAGAAATTTGTATCATAATCATATATCTGAATTTTCCTAAAGCTTGTAATATTGGTCAGTTTCGATTTGAAGTAATAATTTAAAATATATAAAATTCTTCTTCCTTTTGGTTCCATGACCGTAGAAAATATTTGGTTAATTTCTTGTATCTTATTTAATACTCACTTATAAATTATAATTGGGATGTAAAGCAGTGGATATTTATAACTATTGACTAAAACCCTTGAGTATACTTGATTTAAATTTTATTTCTTGGTTACTAATTTTTGAGAAACATAGTTCGAGCTATTGCCTAGTTCACAAGATTATTATTATTTTTCTTTAGTTGTATTTTGTTGTAATGTTCGCAAATATGTGTGAATTATTCATATTTAAAAGATTAAGGAATCTAACGTCTTTTTGTAATGTATTATTACAAGCTTAAGTTTAATATACTTTAGAGTTTTAAAGAAATGAAGTGACAAATTTTTTTCAGACCAACTCTAACATCAAGCTTAAATGATGCCACTTGAATTTATTAGTAAATGGATTATGCCCTGTTCCTTAAAATCTTAATCGAAATTATTCATTTGCAGCATTAACCTGCTATTACTTTCATAATTTGCTATTCTATTGTAATTTGTTTATTTACTTTATGTGTCATTTTGAACTACATAATTCATCTCTAATACTTAAAAATTATTTCAATTTCGCGTATTCATCTTTTTAGTCTTAAGACAGATTTTCCTCTGACTTTCTATGAATTCAACTGTTCTTATTCACAACATCCCTCCATTTTTAAACTTTAGAAGCTGACTTAATTAGGATATTTTTCTCCCAAAGATGAGAGTTTTAACATCTCGATTTGGGAAGATAGGTAACTGATTATACTACCGATAGGAAAACTCATATTATATAATCTTCTTCGTTTTTCCAACTTAGAAAGTGGGTTTGATCGTATCACTTCAGTTAACCCAATACCTCTTTGAGAACATACTCATTAAGTATTGATCTATCACTAATAACCTTGGCCAAACAGTTTTTTCTTTCATTTCTCATTGAAACTTGTTAGTTGTGTTTATTAAGTCCTAAAAGATCCCATTTTCCGACGACAAAGTGAAGAGTAAAAATCGTAATGCATTTGAGGCACATTAATTGTATTCGCGTTGGTAACCGCATACTGCATGTGCTTTTGTATTACTTTCAATGCTCCGTGTGAATTATCACTTTGTGTTAGCGTAATTGCGCAGTCAAGCGTAGAGATAGATAAACATGTACAAGTACGTTGGCAATTATGATGTTCCTTATATGTACCTCTGTCGTCCCTATCCAAATAAAAGTGAAATTCAATGTTAAAATACTGCTGCAGTGAGTCAACGCTTTTAGTAGAAAATATATATACAGAAAAAGGTTACTTAGACATATCCTGAGTTTTACAAATGGGAAAGTGTATGATAAACAAATATCAGGTCTCTAAATAAATAGTCAAACATGGCATCAATAGTTCCTGTGAGCTAAAACTTGAGTAAATAGTTTTAATACTAGTTTATCTGATGAAACAATGGTCGTCTACTAAATGGCATCATGGACCACATTATGCTTTTTTTAAATTGGCTCTTAGCCATTTTGTTTACTTCTTTCACACTAGTTATAAGCGACTGGCATTTACAAGATTATTATTTTGAAAATATATTATTTTTTAGTTTCATAGATTCTTAATATCTTTTATTATATCTACTCGAAAGTATAATGGAGACGCAAATTTATTTATTTATATCAAATGGCAGACGTTTTGATAGTTATCATTAGCCCAACCAACGGTTAACTAATTAAAACATGAACTTCCAATATTTCATTTCCTCAAATTAAAAATTATCAAAAATAATCATTTGATTTCTGCATTGAAATGATGCTTACAACATTTCAGTTGCAAAATATATAAACCAGTAGGGCGGTTTCGAAGATCAGATATTCAGACGTTCGAATCCATAGATGATAAGCACTGGTGAGTAGAGTAGGATCTGGGAATAGTAAAGCGTACATGAAGGGTACATAATAAAAGGCTAGACATTGTCGAATATTCATTTGTCCAATAACAACCTTTACATTGTTTGAGTACCCTCATGAAGAAAATTTCATAGAGTCTAAATAAGTAGTTCAAGCAAATGTATGATAATTTGAATGCCTCCAATTACCAACAACCAGACACCTCACCATGTTTTCACGAAAGTCTTTCCTGCAATTTTTGACATATATTTATCCACTCTCCGTTAAGAAATAGGCATTTCCATCACTACTACAAGTTTCGCATTTACAATGGAAACAATAACGAATTTGGAAATGTGATCGACTATTTCACGGAAGAATGAAACTTAAAGAAGTGCCCGTTCCTGCAAGATGTCATTTCCACAAAGACAGAAATTTCACATTAGTTAATTGTAAACTGATGAGAAACATAGAAGACAAAAGCTACAGCTTAGGGGAAAGACTTTATCGGCAAAGTTACTTCATTCAAAAGAATGCTTTTATAACTGCTGAACTATTCAGGGCTGGATTTAACTAGCAGTACCACCTGAATTTACTATGATTATTAATTATCATCCAATAGTTTTTTTTCTTTAAAAACAATAAAAGGCTAAAAAAATTGAAGTAGTAGTGTGGGAACGTAACTTCATCATGACGAAACTAGAGGCCTTCTCGACCAATCAACGATCAAAACCAGGACGTCCAATCAACGGGTCAAAATCAGTACGTGATTATCCGATCAATCAATAGCTCAAGTCATTACATGCTTATCATATTTGAAAGTGTCAGAATTGCATGTTTCATAAATTTCTACCTCATCTGAGATAAATTTGATGCTTCGTTTATCTATGCTGCATTCGGTAATAATTCTTTTGAAGAAACCTTCATAGGGGTCAATGTCATTGTTACAAATGACAAATTGGCACACGTCATTTTAACCTATTAATCTTGGATATGGGTTAAGGAATTTAAATAGAAGCCCATTTTTAACATAGTTAACCTACTAAAATTGCATTGGCATTGCACAATCGATAACCTCGAACATCACTGATTGGCTACAAGTTCATTGATACAGTGCTGCGAAATTTTAACTAAGGAATTCCCTATTATTCACGAGTCAAACTAAAAACTACTTTGGGTTGTGTTTCCATATCTCCTTTTACTTCTTACAGATATCTGATAATTCAATAAAAGTTCTGTGATAAAAGAATAAGGAAGGCTATGGAAAGCAATTCAACTTCGAAGACCCATTCGTTGATGGTTGATAGGTAAATTCTCAGAGCACAATTTTCAGCCGTTAACTGTCTTGGTTTTACTTCTATCGCGATATCCCGGTCAGAATGAAAAAATAGGGTTCTGCTATAAGAATAGTTACTGAAGAATTGGCTTTAAGGGGAACAAAATGTGAATATACCGTATTTTAATGCTTTGGGAGTGCCAATGCATTTCCACTTTAAAAATTTTAATATTTTAACATTTTTAATTTACCAGGCGTAGATATAATTTCCTCACAACCTCTTGACATTTATAATAAAGAATATAGAATACCTGATGAAATGAAAATGAATAATGATTACAACCAATACTTACTTCATTTTCAATTCGTACACTATATCGGCTAGTTCAATAGATATATTTGGTAATTTAAAAAAAGACCCCTTTGTAACTTTTGCACACGGCATAGAATGGAAGGCCTTCAATGATGATAAGTTTGTCAAACAAGGTGCAAATGAAGACGTCAAAGATCCATTTCATTTCGTTCACAAACAACACCTCTCCCACTCGATTTCGATATTTTCCGCTCCATACGTAGACTTAATCTCCGAACTTGGGCTTAGACCAACTGGTGAGATGAGTTCGCGCTAGCAATACCTGGCGTGACTATAATGTAATGCGTTCTTACTTGACCCGACACTACGAACAGTAGGAATACAACCAAGAAGGATCCTTGATTTTTTGACTGGGGAGATAACTCATTAAATATACCCAACTGCCCAACTGGTTTGAAAATAGTAAATAAATCCAAAAGATTAACTTATAATAATGGCATATTCAAATCAGCAATGAAACATTCCTAATTCTTAATCCATTAAAGCTGAATAGTAAGCTTAATAGTAATTGTTAATCCAAGTTCATTATTCATCAAATAAAAGTAAATGGCAAAGTTGTGACAGATATTCATCCTTAAGTTGTTTTTAACATATGAATCGAACGAATTAATGTTTAATACCACTTCATCTCAGTTTGAAAACCTATTTTTCGAAATCAGATAAAGCATACCGAGATAATTGGAAATTCAATTTTTCGTTTCGGGTTATGTATAGCACCACTTTCTGAATTTCAATCTCATAGACAATGGACTTTAAGTTTGGATAATTTGGCACGAAATTTTTGCAAAGTGGAAATGAAAAAGCCGATAAAATGCCAAAACTACGCATAATTGAGTGTTAACACGTTATAAGATTAAGATCGACAGTTTTCAGTGCTTTGGGCGTTACGAGGTTTTCAAAATGATTCAGAAAGAAAACAGCAAGTTTTACATCAAGAATGAATATTATTCGAAATGTCTTTGCTATTCTTGACGCAATTCAAGAAATGGCGAAAAACTATTCATCCCAGTTTTGAAACCGGCAGGCTAAATGTCGCAAAATTATGAAGAGGTTATAAGCAAAATAAAGGACAATGTACATTTACGTGTTCAACTGGGAAAATAGTTGAATATACTTGCAAATTTCAAAGGGAGTCCTTTCAATTGATTTGGCAGGAATGTAATTTTGGTCATTGGGAAGCATCAAATACACTTTCATGGATAACAATCAAGGCATAAATTTATGCAAGCATAGAGATGTGCTGTGATAAATTGAATACAACTATCTTTCAAAGTTGACATGAGTTTACTTTTAACAAAAGCAAAATTCTTGAAAACTTTTAATGCACAAGCCCACAGGCACATACATATTCAGCCTCTGTACGTGAATCTGCATAAAGTGCACTTATAAACGAATAATATAACGTAATTTCCCTTTAATAATGACACATTACCTGTAGCTGCGTCTACTTTCATGATCGTATTTCTAAAAATAGTCGTTTATTTATTTTATTCATTAAAAGCGGGATACTCGATAAAAGTCCTTAAATCAGCTCTAATCCCGTCAGTAAGAGTAATTGGAAGTCAGGTCAAATCTAAACAGATATCAGTTCATGGAACTAATGATCTTCCAATGTGGGCCAACGGGTTGCCAGAGCATTTTGGCTAGGGAGAAGATCAAACACTGAATTCTGTGAAGATGGATAATATCGACATCAAGTTCCCACCCAGTATAAAAATTAACGCGTTTTATGGTAACACATTAGGAAGTTAAATTGATCCTTCCATATTAGTTTAAAACGCTAGTATACACGTATTCAACTTTAAAGAATGGGTATGTTTGGTACATATGAAGACACTAAACACACGGCAATTCCTTAAAATATCCTATATATCAAGCAGTGCCTTGTATAACACCTTCAACAATATTTGAGAGAAAGGTAAGATAGAACCCTAACTTGTCTCAATCGAATTAATAACAATCGAAAAGTGACCATGACTTGAACTAGCTGATAAGGCAATTAATTATTCTGCGATGCGACAGTTAAAGATGGCCATATAGCTTAAATTTAAGTCAATTCTAAGCGTAGGAAGAATTCATAGTCTAATGGGCACATTTCGTGTCGAATTAAAAATCCGTTGCCTTATTTATCTTTATTGAAAGATAATATATAATTAATAAAATAAAGATGAATAAAGTCAATATTCCATGATAACTTTTATAACCGCACAAACGAATTTGAACCGTCGAAAATTTGAACCGTTGACCAACTAAAAATGTAAATTATATTTTAAATGTGAAATATTATTTTAATTAAATAGGATAGTGCAATGTGTTATATTAAATATATTTTTTGCCCGTTATTCGAGTTGTTTTGAACCCTAATTATAGCCGCTCTTTTCTATGTAAGAGATGCCAACAAAAAGAAAGTTTTCTGCCAAATTTCCCACGGTACTGGAATTTTATGTTCACTTATTCTCATGTTAGGCACGTATTAAGAAAATTATGCAGTTAGATGATGAGATTGGCAAGTTGTCGGCGACTGTTCCTCCTGTTGTTTGTAAGTTATTTTATTTAATTAATTTCTTTAAGCCAGAGCATTGGAATTATTTGTCATGCAGCTAATGACAACGGCGTACAACTTGACCACCTCTCGGAGTTCTAAAACCATTCTACCTATTTACCTGTATGATTTCAATTTTTTATTTTCCAAAATTTACAGGAAGGAGGCCATAGAATCAGAAGAAGTTTTCGCATTTCTCAAACCCTTAGTGGCTCACATTGCTACGGAAGAGACTGTTGATGGAAAGTCAAAAGCTAGAAATGGTACTGTTGGTAGAAAACGAAAGTTCGAAGAGAATCATTCAGCTCATCCCCCATTCGATGAACCTGGTCACTCAAATGGCAAACGAAAATACACACGAAGAAAGACCTCTGATGCAATTCCCGAAGGGGACGTAGCAGAAGATTGTTAAACGTAGGTTCTGTTGTTAATGAGAGTACTATCTAGTACATGATGTTAATTATTTTCTAACTTTAGTCATAGGTTTGAAGCTGCGTCAAACATTTGTATCCCGAAGACCAAATGTAGTATGAAGATTCTCAAACATAAATGCATTTTATAGCTATCATTATAACTCAGTCGTTCTCATTTTTCTTTAATTCTACTTATTGTGTTATCACTACCACCGTTTATTATCAATTGCCGTTTGTACAAATTTAAATGGCAAATCTATACATTTATTCTAGTACGCCTTCTTTACTTTAAGAGCGCTGAACTTATCTCGCTTTGAAGATTTCTCTACCGGCTTTGGCCATTACTGATTTCGAATGTAAGCCTTAGTGTCGATAATGTGGCATCTAACATTTTTAGGAGCGTGGTTTTCCGATGAACCTCTTTCCCGAACTTTTTCCCAATTGGTCCACTGCTCGTTTTTCGAAATGGGTGGCTACCTAGGATGGATGCATTGTGGTTGGTATTTCATTCTGACTAGGACGTTTGATCTAGCTATTCAAGGGTTTAATAGATACGCCAAGCAGCATTAAGAGATAAATAGTATTCCCCGAGAGATACATATGTGTGAGTTTTCATGGAACACTTTCCAATAGCCTTAAAAGAAGAGCAAGGTATAAGAGGCAAATAAATAAATCTTATCAATTCGAGAGGTCGGTCCAATGCTTGCCCTAAGTCTCGACTGCCTTAATAGGACTTGCATTATAAAAACATTGTAACGCATCTGCGGTTTTATTGTGTGGAGCCAGTAAATCTTCGGTAAAATGCGTTTGTAGCAAAAAATGAAGGAGAAACAGAAAGAGGAATTATCAAAACGTGAGTGGGTGGTGCAAGTAGAGAGCCAAACGGTAATCATCAAAAGTCAATGGAAGAAATAAGGTCGGTCAAAGTGAAGGAAAGTTAGTAGAGGGTTATATCCATGTGGGAAGTTGGCAAAAAGCCCTGTCTTAGCCCATCTGCGCTCACAACCGCTGTCCATCCTGAACCATCATTATCTTCTTCAAGAACATAGAAAACTTCTCCTGCCTTGCCCGATATGCATCCGTCGTCGTTACCTATTGAGCAATGGAAAATCGCGAATTAGCTCTACTTATAATTTATAAGTAGAAGGAACGGTCAGTCACCAGTACCTTCGCAGTCATATTTCAACGTGGCTTCACCGACGTAATCCCCCTTATGAGTTGGCGCTACAGGATCATCAACATCTGAATCGGAGTCCTGAGTTGCCGAACTAAAAATAAAATAAATTGCCCCAACCATTAGCTGAAATGTGATTAAGTGCACGAAAACGCGAGCACAATATGGGCAGACCATATAACAAACCACCCAAAACGCTGGGCACACGCACACAAAGAGAAGCGAACTCACGCCTTTGGCCTGGAGATAAAAAGTACACAAGTAACAGATAGGCGTATCGATTTGGGAATGAGCTTAAACATCTCAATGAGAGAGCATATATGAAAATCAAACCAAGATGGCCTAAGGTAAAAGTGTTGTGTGAACTACTGGAGTGTGGGCTAAGTTTTAATGAAGGATTTACATAGTAATGCACGGTATAAATAGGATCCAAATAAAACGAATTTTGGGAAATATATGATCTGTAGCATAAAGGACGTCACCCCATCAAAGGAAGGTGTCAAGATATCTGAGAGCTCTGTATGCAACATGACTTGATTTAACTAATCTACGTACACGATCTTCCTATTTCCCTCTCGTGCCTTCCTGATCAACAAAAAGTTTATCGTCTACTGCAATCGATCCTTACATTTTTTAGAAGTTATCCTATTATTTATTACATTTTCATGGTGAACTGCCCTAGTTTATTTGAGCAATTTACTATGTGCTCTCCTTATTCCCTATATCGTTTATAGGACAACATCTATAACCTAGTTCACGTGACCAAGATTTGGAGTTTAGTGGAGGAATAAATGGAGAGAGAAAAAGTGCACTGACTTGAAAGCTACCCTCCAACCGAATACACAAACAAAAACCATGGGAAAGAGACCTCACGAACAAAGCCGGCCTAGCCACACAACAAGAGGCATGCGGAAATGTCTGTGTAATGACTAAGGTCGCCCATTGCATCCCCACCCACAATTGCCCATTAATTAGCTTATTTTGGAACGCCTAGGGGTCAACCTTGTTCAAATATTACTGAGAATAGTGGGTCTGTTGCATGCACACTGCTCGCCATTTGCACAAATTGTATCGCGTCTGTCAAAATGACGACTCAACTTTTGCATTTTAGCAAGTCTGCCAATGACTCGCTTTCTTGATTTGCACACATTTTCAGCCTATCGCGACAAGACAAAAATGTTTCTGTTCGACAGGCACATTCTCTACCATCGTCTTTGCAACGAAAAATTGCAATTTCACCGCCTTTATCAATCGAAACGGACGTAGTCACGACAACAAGACATTGAGGTGTTGGTGCAAGGCACAATTAAAGACACTTTTAACGATAGATTTTATCAAGACCGATGATGATCCGTCGATACGGATGGCCAACCGAGAAAAAGATCAATTCTGGTGAAAATCAATAATTTCAGTGCAAATTTCTCACATGATCGGCTTTAGGATACCTTAATTCTACCTTAGCCAGGTGTTGATTGCACGCTCCTCAAAGAACTCGAGATATAGTCCATTAAGGAAGTGTTAGATATTATTAACCTTAACCCCCGGGGAAATACTGTGGTTAAGGCAAGTTCCGACACACCACCATGCATCACAGCCAATCAAAAAATTATACAAATAGCGAAAACAGATAGCAAAGGCCAAACTTAGCAACATGCAATAAAAATTTCTCAATAATGCTAACACGAACTGACGACAAACAAACCTTCGCTGCTGATGTTGGTAATAAAATGCGGGTCTAAAGCGAAATATTAAGTAAAAGAATCGATAAGGAAGAATTCAATCGCTTCAAAAGACGTTGGTTAGGGAACACGAGAGCTTTCTACTGCACTTAGAGTTTACCCATGATCGAGAGATTGAGTCAGTCGGGGTAATCCGTTTTTTTGGATAAACGAGAATCTTCGAAAGCTGAAAAGTGAGTTTAGTTGGAAATAAAATAGGCTATTTGATGGGAAATGATTTAAAAGCTTAAGGACAGTTCCATTACTAAAGAGACACTCTCTCTTGGCAAGTAACGAGATTAGAAAAACCGAATGTCGCTTAACCATACGAAACTAGCATCTGGGTCTGTACCGGCCCAGTGAGAGCCCTATTGGCTTATCACTCCGATTCTCGTGAATTGAGTAGTTATGTCAGACACTGAACTTACTCAGATCGAGAACCAGACTTTTGCAAGGAGTCAAGTCGGCCAGTGATGGGCTGCGAGATACGGTAAGGGTTGGTACATTCAAGAGAACTTTTGGCTTCAGCTAATGCCCTATCACCACCCATTGACTCGTAACGTGCCTAAAAGACAATGAAAGATCAAGCACTTAGGTAAAGTAATCAGAATTTCACACCATTCATCTACAAACCGTTTAAACCCAAAACTAATAGCTGAAAAATTATTATTATAAGAAGGCAGCTGCTATTTCACTCCAGATTCACTCTAATTATTAGGAGAAGTCCCCACCACTTCCATGTAAATTATGCCGTCTATTTAATGACAATTGCATATTACCACAAGATTACAAAAGTAGCCAATTAACTAGACCGATAGCTTTGCGAAATTTCTGAATCCAAAATGGAAGTAGGTATTATGAAGTCACTCTGATGAGAAACTCGTATTCTACCAAAAAAAATAGTTGAACGAGGAGTAATCGAGATTAGTTTACAGCATCACAGGAAGTGCTCAGATGGGACTCGATTTGACAGAAGAGCTGGCTAGAATTTATGAAACGGATTTTAACAACTCACCTACATTAGGGCTGCTCAAGGCGTCTTCTTCCTGGGAAGTTTATTAAGCTTATGCAAAGAACGCCGGAGATGGTGAAAGACCTTTACTCAATGTGCACAATGTGAGAAGATGAAGACGGAGAGGAGACAATGAATCAGTGATTAATATTGATGAGTAAGCACGACGCACATATACAATGGACAATGGTAACGAAACAGGGTGAGCGATAGACTTACCTCCATGTGGTGCACCCTGGGCAACGTATACTCATATGACAGTTCATTTCTGATTTCAAACTACCATGACCCCATTCTACGTCATATTTAACCACTTCCATAGCACTCACCTCACCATACCTTTTTCACTATTTTGGTGTCTGTCTCTTTTACATCTGTGAATCACTCATCTGCTCCCCCTGTCCACCTTTTGTGACTTTGATGTTCCTCCCATCTGTGAAGCCCAAGGTCAGCTCAAGGGCTAGTGATAACTATCATAAAGGCTGCCATTTGAAACAAGTAAATAGTGACAGAACAGTAATTTAAATAGAAAGAGAAATAGGAACTAAGGTGAAGTGTGGAACCACAAACTGTGTACACAAAATCACTAGAGATGTAGTAGTTAATGACCTCGTCTGTAAGGAAGACACGGGTACGACACCCATCGGCGTAGACAAAGTGAACAAAAGGCTGACAGCAGGATTCAGTTTTTTCCTCAAAATGGAGGCTACATGACATTACTTCTGACTAAAATGAGTCGTAGTGAACGCACTTTCAAACAAAATGAACTTTTACTATGTTACCTAACCCCCCCCCCATAGAAAGAACAACGAAGGATAATGATATTTTTGGAGAAATTTCGAGCAATTAAAATATGGACCAATCGAAAGAGATTTAACCGGGCACGGGGATTTGGTCTACTCTCAGGTAACCAGACTTAAAACATTTAGTACTCAATCTCCTCTACACCACACACTTTAAGGTACTACATAAATAATAAGCCCTAGTGAGACTCACTTCAAGGCGCTTTATGAGATCTTCAAGGGAGAAGGTCTGTCGTTTTAGTTTGTCCACAGCATCCTCCGTGTCGTCCAAATTGCCCAATTTGGGATTGTTCTTACACGATTCCAGTAATTTGTTTGTTGCCCCACTAAAAGAAATCGTAGAATCAAGGTAAGTTTTTCAAAGACGCTACTGCATAGCCTACAATTATATATATATATATATATATATATATATATTTGTAGGCTATNNNNGATATATATATATATATATATATATATATACATATATATATATATACATCCCAGAGTATATGCCTCTTATTCCCCAAAATACTAATACTACACAAGATTTGACATCACCAAAAAGTTTAAAAGTGCTTAGGCGGGTGTTCAATTATATTTGGTCCGCGATAGTTATCTATGGATAGGGCATAATTGACGAATGACCTAACGTGGTACCTTGTTCAGTTTTAATAGAATGACGGGAACTCGACCAAATTAAGTAAGAGATAAACTCACAGAACCGATGGTTTTTCAAGAAGCTAACAGTTTAAACAAACCAAGAGCTCGCAACACCAAGCGCATTTTTGTCGACCTCAAAGTAAAGAAGAGAACTAATAATCAGCGCTTAGCTAGTAGAATCAAGACCGATTAAGATATGATGGGTGAAGTTGACTGGTTCTGAGTTCCTCATTTGTCAGACGAGTAAACAGTAAAGAAATAGTGTCCTCAAGAAAAATTAGGGCTCCTTGGCGATCAAGTAAACTCAGAATCCATATATCATCTTATCAATCTCCATCTATCAACCAATCAAAGTAAAGCAAACATAGAAAATATTTAGGGAAAACATCAATTTTGAATAGTTTCTTATTGTTTATTAATTACAAGGAAAAAGCGGAATTCGGAAAAAAACAGCTAAACAGAATTGAATTTCATTAAGCGAAATCTAGAAATAAAGAAATTCTGCATCACTAACTAAACATGATGTCACGATATTTAGACTAAAAGCAATCTTAAATACCACCTTAGAGGGAATAACAGACGTAAAAGAACTGACAACTGACTAGAAATAAGACTATCGCTTTGAATTATGTCATCAAATTTTCAGCTAAACTTAACCGAGGTAGTAAGCCATTCCATCCAATAGGCGTACAGAGTCGATTATGAACTTACGACCTGTTTTTGAAGACGAACAATTTAGCATGGTGCCACCAATACCTTTACTATAGTCCTTACTTGTAATGCCCGCAAACTACTGTGCAAATTTAAATCGCTACAAGCTACAACCTACTGCCAAAGTCCTAACGAGAGGTTTCAAGATAACCTCAAATCTCATGAATAGAAACTAAAGGGGAAATCCATTGGAAAAAATCTTAGAGCATTTAGGGGCATTATTAATTATGGTCATTTAGCAAGTCAGAGGTAACGGGTTCGATTCCAACAGGGGCACACCGAGTGAGTGAAATGACCAATTGCACTGTTTAAACGACTAATGTGGAGTTTGACACACCAAGGAGAGACGGTAAAGTCACTCACTACCCAAGATGAATAGTAGGAAGCGCTTACTAAATGGGTGTGGTAGTTGCCATTATCACTTATCTTTGTTTCATGGTAAAGGAATATCTTTTTTTGGAAAAATTTGCCAAAAATTCAAAATAAAACTATGCCACATCACCACAGCACAAGTATTTAATTAATAGTGAAATCTTGGCATTGGGCGTTAAAGGAAAACATTCACGGTTTGGGACTTTCTTTCCTTACATTCCAAAAGACCGACTCTTCACGCAAGTGGCATAAATGCCTACCTAAAAATAATACCAACAGTGTGAAATTTCTCGTGTGAAAACAAGAACGCAAAAAATTCAAAACGCGAATCGAATCTCAAGCTGAAAATATTGAAACAACTCTTTTACTAAAATAAAAACGAAATATCTGAACACGCAGCACCTTATTATACAGTGGGTAAATAAATTTACTCCTTTCATTTGAAATAGGTTTCTAAATTTAAGCAACAAATTTGTGGATAAAACGTTAAAATAAGAAATGATTCAATCAGAGTAATCGACAATAAAATGGTAAAAAAAAGTTAGGAAAGATTTGGATTGAATTCCTTAAGATTATTTAAAAAACAACCCGAATTGATTAATATCGCTTCAATGAATAACGTAACTACAATTACATTGAAGTTTGACGCAACTTCATGATCGATATTATGATTCAAGTAATTTTAAACGGGAATTTCAAAGTTTCACCAAATTTTAAAGATGCTGACTCGGTGATTAAGAATGGAGAATCCAATGTGTTCCAATCCGGTACACGTCTAAAAGTACTTAGGATGGACTCTACTCCTACAGGGGTATTTCGGTGCACAGAGGGCATTGAGTCATGAGCTAACATCCCCCACAACTAATTTTTCATGATTAACGAAGGAGGATTTAAATTTAAACAAGAAATAACGAGGAAATAAGATTTTGAAAAAGAAAAAAACAACAGAACAAGTTTAGTAGCTATAAACCAGGTGATGATGGGAAACCCTCTTAATACATTCAATTGGAAATTTCGCTCTTAATTCCTAGCCAAACAATAAACCCTTGATAAATTAAGAATAAATAGTTCAAAATTACACCAAATGCACTAGCATTTTTTTCGTAAAATGAAAATAAAGAAAAGTTAGGCAAAAAGGAGCAGACAAAAAGTGGTAAACAAAGAAACGAAAAACCCGAACAGGGAAATTTGCAATTTTTCTGGCAATAAGTCAGCTCCAACTATAACCGAGGCATTGGGAAAGTCAGAAAAAACTGCGAAAATAGCAAACAAATGGATGATCATGAAGGCTTACATATACACAAAGACATAGCCCCACCCCCCACCCCCACCTCCCTACTCCGCCCCAAGCCCCAGAACAAGAGTGCAAACACGAACCGTTTCATGCGAAGAGTAACCGTGGGCCATGCCAAACAATGTAGTTCAACAGACAACAAGCACATGCAAGCAGAAATACTGATAATAAGCTGCCATTGAAATGGGAATTCAGCACTTTTTGACACAAACTAGAGGAGGAGAAGGGAGGGAAGAGGGAAGAGGGGAAGCGAGTGGAGACGGGGAAAACCACCTGCATCTTCGTATCCAGAAGGGAATTCTGAAGGGCGTATATGAAATGGAACGCTTTAGTCAAAATTTCGAAATAGCAAGTACAATTCAAAAAAAAGAAAAACGATGAAAGGGAAGGTGAAAATGAGAAACAAAGAAGAGGAAGGTTTGCGCTAATTAGCATATATTGAGCCACAATAAGGTGTCAAGGTTGAAAAGTACATATTATTGTGAGTTAAAAAGAACAAAAAACACTAGGAGTAAATAGACTCAGACATTAAATGATTGAAACCAGAACTGAAATAACAACAGAAGAATTTAGATTTACAACAATTAAATTTAATGATTCATTCGCAGATATACCCTCCAAAATGTATAATCATGGGAAAGACCCAAGTGAAATTCTGCCTTAAATTTGACGTTGGAAACACACCCAATTCGGAATTCCCATTAGTCAAATCACAGCTGATTGCATAAAAGCATATTTTAAAAATTGGGTACAGAGAAAGAAGTGAAAACTTTCGAAAGCGACATGCGAAGTTCAAGAAAAAAAATTTTTGGCATAACTTCAAGCGGAACAGTCTTCAAGTTCAACCAACCCCGTCGACACAATCATCGAGGGAAAAAAACACAACATTGAAGACACTAACAGTAGTAAACACTACAGCCATCTCTCTAAGCTTATCAAATATATGTCCCATTTACAGTTACGAATAAATAGATTAGTAAGAAAATATCGTGCCTATGCTAAAACAGACATATCACATCCCGTGTGTTTAACCAAATATTCCCACAAATACTCTATTCACTTCTACAATACGTAACAGACATTTTTTGCCTTAATGGTAAGCACTTTTATAAACAATAAATAGAAACAAATGGATCTAATAATGAGGGGAAAAAGACTTACAGAGTTTTCTGAACCTTGTCTAGATTCTTCTTGAGCGCGATGATGCGATCGTTCAATTGGATTACAGTCATATCCGATTCCTAGAAGAAAAAAAAGTGGAACAATAGATGAGATTGCTATTTCTACTTACGAGGAAAATAATTACAAATAGAGAAATATTGCATTTGAGAGCGCAAGCACAAACTCACACACACACACACACACACTAGTTCAATTACTTAAAGTGATTAACAACTTTGGAAACAAATAGCCAAATTTGAAAGTAAGCAAAAAATTACCCATCAAAGTCACAAGACTTCCAGATCTGGAAATATCATCACATCATCTAGGAGAAAAGAAAGCTTTCACAAAGTTTAAACATCATATTCTCTAATCTATAGGGGGCCTCGTTTAATCAGCCGAAATTTTCATGAACAAAGTAATTTGGAGCAATTAGCACAGCTTCCATATCCACGAACAAATTTGTCGACAGGCTTCAATTTTATCAATGGAAAGTAAACAAGTGTGACAACACCAAGAAAATCGAACGGAAAACCACACCCGTAGGAGCGTTCCATCATCACAGAGCAACGTGATTGGTGAATCAAATAAACCAGAAGTAAAACAGCCATTTGCTAAGTTTATCGCGTGGATAAACACGTATCTAGACCATCGTACTACACGAGCAAAACTTCTGGAATTAATTGTACAGACTAATTCATAAAGCTTACGATAAATGCACAACATTCATCTGTACTGTTGTAAATCTTAACTAATATCATATTCGAGAGTATAGAGTAGTCACTGCCACCTTAAAAAGCAATTCTCTTTTATTAAAGGTCACTTTTTTAAACACAAATTAGCGCATGTTAAGTGACCTTTTAACAATACAGAGTTTCCAAAGGCTGTCACATTAAGAGAAGGTTATGGCGGGGGTGCCAATTTGAAAAAAGGCATTAGTTGATAAACTCGCCAATGAAGAGGTGAGATGAAAAGTATAATTCGACCATATCTACACCTGAAGCCTTGGCTTGCAATTAGAAGTTAATACGAAAATCTCAACTAGCGGAAAGGAATTATAGATGACAGTGACCACAATCTTCTCCATCAACTTTCCATTAGGATGTGAAATCATACAATTTGGGGAAGCCGTAGCTAATTTCGCAGGTTCCATCTCTTGAAGACTAAATTGCAAAGAGCATTTGCTTGTTGTACTTCCGGGTAAGGGAAGTTCACTATCACCGCCAATGCTGACTAACCAGGAAGATAATTAATTTCCATACAACTCAAGTTCATACAAATGAACCTCTCTTTCAGCTGCACGTCTTCGCCTTTTTGGGTATGAGCGTCTGTAGTCAGTGTAAACATTAATATTTCAAAAGTTGATTAGACATTTTATTGATTGTGAAAATAAAATTTTCTATGTCAATCAATTAAGTGGTTAAATTAAATCCACACACAATTCCAAAAAGTCCTCATCTATGATTTCAAGCTAATAAAAATGAAGTACGTTTTGTTAAAGTGCATAAAGTTATAACGATTTAATCTCCCCACATTGTAACAAAGTTCATTACTTGAAAAGTTACTTCCCTGAACTGGGATTGGTTGACTCAAGGTTGTTATTTAACCGATCACTTCAACCTAATTTGAAGCCAACTCGGAGGACATTTAGGGTATAAATTTTTAAAAAATGTACCGGTAAATTCTCAATATCCCAAATTTGGAAATCAATTTACTTAGGGAAAACGGATTGAGGTGCGTAGTTAGTTCAAGCAGATTAAGTTAGGAACAAAATAAGTGAAATATGTAGGCTTTGATTGACTATTTGAAGATAAGGCTAAACAGAGTGATATGGTCACGTGTTGTGAACTGTGATGAAACTTTATTGAAGGCACCCAAAAAACAAACGAAGGGTAAATAGTGAATCGACGTGAAACGGTTCACTAAGTATCTATAAGAGCAAGAACTTAAACAACAACATCACATGGTTACTTTAAAATGTAAAATAAAATGGCAATAAGATTCCATCATCATCATCATCATCATTATCATCGACAGATGTAGCAAGCTAACTGAGAGAGGTAAGCAAATGAAAAGGTCGCAGCATTATATCCCCCATAAATGCTTTACAAAAAATTGGAAAGTGAGTTCTGTGAGTTAGGATGACTCATTTGTTTACTCTAAAGTATTTATGATTTACCAATTCTTGTTAGCTGCGCAGCCTTTACGAGAACTGACAGTTTCTAGCAATAGTCTACTTATTTTACTGCTCTTTGCGAAAATGAGCTTGCTAGCATTTGTCATTTGCTTTAAATCTTAAGTGAAAGTTCGAATTCTAAAGGAAGTTGGGGGGGGGGGGGAGTAGAGTTGCAACTGGGGTTATCTATGTCGATCACCACGTGACAAATGCGTGAGAAAGACTTCTGTAATTTGAAGAATATCTATCAAATCGTCAAGAGCAGACAGAACTAAAGTAATTGACAGGCTTTTGTGAAATACGTGCTTGAAAAGATCATTTCGCCACAATGTTACTTATTCTCCAACTCAATAGGTGATTACAATACTACTTGCGAATGCAAGTAAAGCAATAAACTTGATTGAGCGCCTGCTCTAGGGTGTTTATGAATCAGTCCCAAAATGAGAAATTGTGAATTAAATAAGCGGAAAAGTTTGCAAAACACTGCTTCAGGAAATCAGTTTACATAACTGCAACAATAATAATGATTTAGTTTATTGATATTGGGACCTCGCTAGCTAATACTTATCTAATTATGATGGACGCAAATTAACTTTAAGGAGATGCAGCGCAAACAAGCCAGTGATTAGTGAAATTCAAATAAAATAAACCAACGTAAAATTAGTCAACTATTTAAACGGAGTTAGTGCCGAAAGGAAACGAAACAATCGACTAGGTAGGATAATTTCCAAAGATGAAATCCTTAGATAAAGCCCTGGAAATAAAAGCAGTGACATTTAAAATTTCAGCAAAAGGTGCTACACTAACATAGCTGGGCTATTTAGAGAGAAAACCTCTGAAAAAAGCGCACAAAGTGTTTGATGTAGGTGTGAATAGAAAAGGATACATTCAAACTAAAGTTGACCATCAAATATTGACTAAGTAAAACTTGAGCAGTAAATAAAGATGCGCCCCAAAGTAGACTAAATATTACTGGGAACTTCTTAACAAATTGGACGGTAGAAAGGTGGTATGAGACTTAAAATCGTTCTACTCTGAGAACGACCCTTGAACTTAAGAGTTCGTGCGCATGAGAAAGGTAATCTCAAATTACAAATTGAATGGAGAAGCCTCTTATACAAATCGCACGTTGACTAAAATAGCATCTTGAAATAAGGCAAAGAAGAAAAGAAACTCTTTGCAGCAGCAAATTAAACGTAAGAGATTCTGAAATCCACTCATCACGGCACATACACTCACCATCAGATACTCCAATACAAATCGTTTGGAAAATAAACCTGTTTCAACGCGTTAATACAACTGATTAAAAGGCAGCAATAAAAAAAGTTGATGATCGATATTACATGAGCGTGTGCCATTTTGTTAAGGCGTCTAGAAAACAGCTTCAGTAACACCCAAGTCAATAAATACAACGAGTAAAAAACCAAGTAATACGATCAAATCGCAATTTTGCATTTCAGTAAGGCAACTAAATGCGAGAAAAAAACGCAGAGAAAGAAGAGTCTATCACTTAAATTTGCTGCAGCATCCAATCCTTATTAAACGTAGATGGCAGGACACTATAATATGCAAAATAGTAATAACTATGAATGTCCGGGGTCATGCTATTCGCCTTCTAATTGACTATAACAAGAGAGAAAAAAATAATCAAAAGTCGATGACTCAGAATAAAATGGCCTAAGAACATAACATGATGATCAGGAGTACACAGCCCTATTCCATAAATGTGCACCAATGAAAACAACTTGACATATATCATCAGTATGGGAGCCGAGGTCGCATAATAGTTAGTTTAAAACGGCCTATCTGAGCAACAACGTCGGCAGTAGAAACAGGAAGGACATAAAAAATTCACCAAACTAACCTTGACAGGTTTGTAGCCAATTCCAGCAATAAAGGGCGTTTGAAGTACATTTCCGTCAGAGGTTTGTGATTTAGACTTCCCAAATAAGTTATGCAAGCCCTTGGACGCCTTCTCAGTGGACTTGACAGAGTAGCCGTTCGAAGACCCCAGCATGAGTTTCACCAAGGCAGATTGGTTTTCCAGAGTAGCTTGGGTGCATTGGGCGAGATTCAAGAAGGGAAGATCGACAGGGAAAAGATACTCCGTTTTACGAGCCTCCAACACAGTTTTGCAGTCCTAGAGGACAAAAAATAATTGAAATTGCAGAGGGACCACCTACTTGCAGGATTATCATCGGCACCTAAACAAATTTTGGCCAGTGACACGCAGTTGGCAAACGTGAACGTCTACCAAATGGAGGCCACTTTAGGAATATCAACTGGTTAACAGCAGCAAATTGCACAGGCTAATTCTGATAAACAGTAGAAATGGTGAAAAAACAGTATCACACTTGAATCCCTTCAGAATGCCTTACCTTTATAAAATCTTGCACTTCCTTTATCGAGAATGGAAAGTAGACTATCAATTCATCACAACTTAAATAAATTATTAAAACCTTCAGCATAAAACGTATAATAGCACAGAAAAAGAAGTGTCTAATTTGCTCTTTGTACATGACTAATCAATTTCGAATGTAGAGATTAAATTTTGTGCAGCACAATGTTACTATGGACCCTTCAATCACATTAGTCGCCGTAGATGTCCATGGACCCAAGATCGTGAAAATGACTCGACTTTGCCAAATGTAGTAAATCAGTTCGAGATTTGAAATTACGTGTCACCATTTCTACAACTTACCCCACAGCCTAATCTAGTCAGAGCGGTCATCTAGTCCCACGTAAACAAACGCCACCAAAACTAACGAGTAAGCTGACGACCACTTAGGTAGCAGTGACGTCAACTAAATAAACTTTAGTGATAATGAAATGTTCACGTAGAAATTCATGAGATATTTGAGCGTTCAAATAAATAACCTCTCGAGCAATTCAATATACGTCGACTCTTCGTGATAAGTACTTAAATTTGATCATTGTTGTTGTTGTTGCAGAGCGATGCAAAAAATACCGACTTAACTTCACCCTGCAGATGATTCATCCTTTGACTTGTAAGCCATTACCGATTGTTCTACACACCGAGCTTTATTCTATCAAGTAGACAATAGTTTGAACTATTAGGTTCAAATGCACCATCTCTATCTTCACTATATCCTGTGAAAGCGGAGTTGGTAAATTCGGAACAAGTAGCAGCAATTCACCTCACCCTAGTGGGGCCTCATTCTATACAGTTTGCTTTCCTCTTTACACATTCCAAACTCAGAGGCAAGCTTATAGCCATTGAGTCATGCACTCTCTACCGGACAGGGCAACTTGAGTAGAACTATTTCACTCCGCCTTCGAGTATAGCACGCTTGCCAACTCAAAAGAACGTGATTTATGTGATAAGCTACGCCCTAGTAAACAACTATTCTCTCTGAGATCTTCTAGATCAATAGGTTACACGCACTGGGTAAGTGCTCAATAGAAGTGCACGAAGGAACAAAAATAGATTGGGATTTTGATAACGAGGGACCTAAGAAATTAGTGGATTTGATGCAGAAATCGCAATAAGAATTCTGGAAACAATTCATCGTTGACAAGTGCGTCTTTAAGTACCAATAGAGAACTGAATTAGCCATTGTAAATGTTTGCGTAGGGTTCTACACACATACGCAAGTCTAAACAGTTTGTGGGGTGCGAACAATAAATTGTGCACGCGAACGGGCACTTTCGAATAAAGCCAAAAAAGTGCATAATTTGAAAGCATGTTACGTGTTTAGCAGTTACCGCAGTGGTCAAGGAATGATTAGTCACAGATCTGTCAGGAAATAAAAGAGTGAGATTCAAAGCATTCAACATCTAGGGTTTGTGCAAATTGGATTCATTTTCAAATAGTGATGGAGTGGATGAAAGCATTCTTGTTCAGTCGTATGGAGCAGGCCAAAGGAGTCACTAATGACCATAACATAACCATAATTTAAGCCCCTATTTGTACTGGTGGCATTCCATATCCACATTTACTCTTCCCCATTTATTCACAATTGGTCACACATTAGATCCTTCAGTTAATACATACTTCCGCCTCTTACTACTAACACTACTATTGATTCCCTTCTTAAAATGGATCATATTCATATTTACAGTAACTATCAAATCCATTTAGAGAAGCGTTTTTTACAACAGTAGCAATAGAGACAGAGAGATGGCATCATATAACAAAGCTGATGATGGTCTAAGGTAGCACCACCAACAAACATAATGTCATCAATCCCACCTTCAAGGTAAAAATTTAATTAATCACTATTAGCTAATCGTACCTAAGGCAATTGTTAGATATCATTCAATTCTACTCAACTATCCACACAAACACACACAAAAATGACTCAATTATGATGCGGAAAAAAGGAAACACTAAACACACCCATTGAAGTAAATTAGCTTTTAATGCAACGTGAAAAACGGCGCCATCAACGACCCAAGTAGAATAAGCACCCAAGTTTAAATGCTAGTATGAGAGAGTAGGAGTAATGAAACAGAATTTACGGTGCAGTTGGATTGCAGTGACGCAAGCTATTTATTGACGTGTCCTATTGTCATTAGCTTTTGCTGGGATTTGGCATAATAAACCTCGGGAGAAAGTTGTAATTTCAATTTACTACTGAACAGACCAATTTTGCCATTCCACTTCCACTGATTCATCGCCCCTTTCGGATGAGCATCAGTCTACGAGGAGAACTTGTGCTTGTGCTCCATTTCGTGCTATCTTTCTTGCACAATACTATAGAAATATCAGATGAAAGATCATTCAAAGCCAAATTTCATCCATTGACGGAGATTGCACACAATATAAAGGTCAGTGAATTATTAGTAGAACTTTACCCAAAAGGCGACTCAATTGAATGACAAAGATAAAAATTATTCTAGAAGGAAAGTTTGCTGTTATTTAAAGCATATCGTGCAAAAACAAATATATTGATAGCACAGGCAATGGCATCTTCTGGTTAAATTAAATAGAAGAAATGCAATGTTTACTTTATAAAGTAACGTATTACAAGACCTCACGAAGAGTAACAGAAATATCGCAAAATTTCAGGGGAATGGGTCGAAATTTCATCAGGTACACCACTGAGGTCATTTACACAAGGTGATGTCTAATTAATTAGTTGTTGCTAAGGCGTTAGCTCTAACATTCGCAATCTTGTGATAGAAAAGCCGTTTTGATTAAAATCCAAGTGCTGATTTACCGGGTTATGGCATAAACGGAAACTATTTAATTAATCATTTTACAATAAAACAACTTTGAAGGAAAAAAAGATTTTACGGTCTATATTCTGTTTCCTATTAAAATTCAACGAAATGTAAAAAGAAGTCCTCTCTATAAAAAAAGACCGATAGAAACAAATCCTCCTTCACAAACTCTGAAATTTAAACTAAAAGGCATTCTTATTATAATGTTGGCAATTGAAAATAAATATTCAGAGGAAGAAGATCATTTGCAAAAGGATACATTAAACTGAAACTAACTTCTTCTGGATCTATTCTGGATACAGTTTTCCGCAGAGCAATAGCTGAGTCCGAAAGCTTCTTAGCCAATACATCACCAAGATCCGAGCACTTAGTAAGAAGATTCTGAGTGATACGAGCCCGTTGTCTGTCGATCATTTCCAGGTCAGCTATGAGCACATTAACATTGTGAGTGAAGTGAAAACGCTGGTTTTCATTGAATGAAGACATCTCGGAAGCATAGGATTGTTGAGTTTCCACGAAGGCCTGCTGTTTGGCCGATAGGAAAGCTTGAGCCTACAAATAAGAAAAGGGTACAAACAATTCACTTCAAATCCCCCTAAATAATTGGAGATATTTAGAACAAATATCTCGAATTAAGACAAGCACTAACACAATACAATAACTAAACGGCGATATATTAGGGTCAATCCCAAAGAAAACTAGGAAAATCTGTAGGTATTGGTTAATTATACTAGCGTGAATTCATTGGTTAAAACCCACCGGTAAAACAGGTTCGCGTTTGGTTGAAAATAGCGCACAAAGACAAAGCTACATGGCGAATAATCAAATAAAGAATCACCGAGCGAGGGTAAATCATGGCATAGCACTTCGCAGTTTCAATCAGCATGTAAAAGAAGAGAAATAATATCAAACAAAAAAATATAACCAACCTTCTGCCTTTCTTCAGCGGAAATGTTTGGGTCATTTTGAGCTAGAGTATTCTGGGCTTCAGCCTTTTGTTTTTCTTTGAGAGCATTAACATGGGCCCGCCAGGTGTCTTCTAGCTTCCTTTTTTCTCGTTCGCGAGTAGAGTTGTACTTCCCGTAGTCAATTGTGACCTTTTCTGCAATTTTCTTTTCTCTGTCGTACTCTGCTTTGAGTGGCGTTATGACAGAATGCTGGAGCTCATTTCCATAGCCCTCAAAAGCCATTCCCATTTCAATAAATGAGGCTAAAGAATCGATGAGAACATTGTTGTATGTTAGCTTATGTTCCATGGTTGTGTTTAACCTTTTCTTGGGCACAAAGCTTGACACCGTTTTGCGGTACTTCTTGCCGAATTCAGAAATAAGCTTTTGAATTTCCACTAGGAGCCGATAATGATGGTCATGCACAGCAAGTTGGTCATTCTCGAACTGTAGCAGATTGTCAACTTGATCCTTTTAGAGATAAAACATATAATACAATAAGACAAGTATGTGTAGGGAAAATTATGTATATTACATATGAATATATTATATGAAAAATTATTCCACGATAATTTGCTAAAAATAAAAGGCAATGCCATTTATGAAATTATGCATCTTGGAAAAGATTTGCAGAGAGCAATGACGATAAATTACCCATAATTCCACTCCCCAACTTCGAGTACTCATCTTCTTGAGCTGCAATGATTTAATCGTGTGACTATTTTTTAAAGGAGTCCTTGGTGTACATTAACAATTTCTCTTTTGTCAGAAATTTGAAAATAGAATAAAATGAGACTAAAAGTAGATTTTGAATACCATATTAATTCTTAAAGTATATTTGTAACTTAAAATGATAAAATAGCAATCGTTTAATAATAATGCACAACTATATGAAAATAACATTTGACGAACTTTCGTCCTACAGTGAGAGTAATAAGCTAATTTAATTGATTTGATCCCTTCGTTTAATTGACAAAAGTTACATTTATCTAATTTAAATTTTAAATTATGGGTCGAATTTCAATATTACATGTTTTTTATGTCATAAATGAATGCAACTGAGTTGACTTAATGTGTACTCTATTAAAGTAATCTTAAATCGAGAAGTACATACATCATATTAATGCCACAAGCTTATTTGAAACTTCAAAAAATCTGCTGAATATACAAATATTATATGTTCGTTCATAATTGCACACTAATTGCCTAAGTTTGATAGACTCTTCGTGTTAGCTTATGCATCGATATCCGATACTATACAAATAATGTGAAGCTTTAGTGTTTCAAAAATAAAACAATTAAAAATCTGTTTAAATCTGTTCAAAAATTCGTTTCCAAATAGCCTTCATTATCCATTTATGTGTACATTCTAATTAGCCACAGAAGTTCCTGATAACATTTAGGCGGATTAATCAATAGATAAGACGATATCTACCCTAAACTCTAGACATTGCCATAGTTATGGTGTTCATTTTTTGGTTACTTTAATAAAAACTGAGATGCATTTAAGTGGAAGCCAATAAAAATGTGAATTCTTCAGGTTAGGCTTTGTTGAAGTATTCTATAGTCCGTTAGCAAAATATGAAGCTAACTAGTATTGGCCAACCATATCTATTGTGAATTCCAGCAAAAGCTACCATATTTAATTAAAGCTGTCTTCCTAAATTTTAACTACACTCAAATTGACAGTATGGGATTAAACATATGATACCGTGTGTAAATGCTGTGTGTCAATGTCTGGGTTGTACTTATTGTAGCCCACCTTTAAAGATCATTTTCATTCTTCGATTTATATGATATTTGACCGATATATTATCGTAGGAGAATTTAAGATTTTTCTTATGAGAAAAGTGTTTTTGATTTTGTTTTCCTCGAAATGTATAACTTGTGACCTTTTCTATTGTACTGAACCATGAGGAATTAAATTTTATATTTAAGAAAATTGGGCATTTATGGACTCTTTTCTTAGTGCATCTCTAGCCTGATGGAGGAGACCTTATGACAGCAAAAAAAAAGCTGAATGACCTTAGAGGTTGGCTAGTTATCAGATCCCTAACTTCTTTCGAACATCGCAAAAGCACAAGATGGGGATATGAAGGGGGCCATTGGTTATCCAGCTTTATTGAATTCGGAGAATTGAGAGATTGGGATGAAGTGATTTGTACGAGCAGATGGTGTGGGGGTTCTAGTACTTGCGAATATGGAACATGAACATTGTCAGACAATGTCAAGCACCCTATCAATCAGGAGGGGGGGGGGGGGGGGAATAACTTGTAAATTTTTATTTGGGGGTAATCCGGACAATTTGATTACATATTTACCAGCAAAATAAGTATTAGAACGCCCGTGATTTAGCAAATGCAGATGCACAATTTCACCAGATTAAATCGAAACTATCGATGAAAAGTTTACTTTCTTACCGGTACCAATCGGTTCTGAGTAAGTTTCAGCCGAAATTTTGTATTTGAATTTCACTCTACTCAAGAGCACAATTGCTCACGATTTGATGATTTTCCTATGATAAAATGCTCTTGTGAAGCTTGAGATATTTACTGAAGCGAAACCAGCTATTATGAATTACACCTTCAAATGTTAAACTCCATGAATTTCAATAAAGACGTGGGACACGTTATCGCTGTGTGCGTCATCGGATGCCTGCATGTCTGCTC